CAGACGTTTGTGCTGCCTTTGAATGCGCACAAAAGACAGTTGGTGGACTCAAACGCATTGTCAAAGCATTTTTGAGGGATTTTTTCCGTAGTTGCTGAAAGCGTTTTATGTACCTAAAGGGTTCCCCGTACTGTGTACGTTGTCACTAAGATTTGGCTATTTCGCAATGCAGTTATACCAGCTTGTTGATGTATTTGGGTTCTGCTTGCGTGCATTTCTGAGTGACATCTGTCCCTTCTCGTATGATCCAAAACGTTTTCAAAGGGTATCCTCCTGCCAATAACTGATTGAATTTGGTTCCAAAGGTATGACAACGCAACAGCTTGTACTCTCACTTTCATCCTAAGGCAAATGTGCATGATGTGGATATTTGACAAACAAAAGGCCACTTTGTCTGCATCGGTAGAGCTATTTATCTCGTTAACTTGGCGAGCTTGTACATCTACATCCACAAATTAACCTCTGAAACATCTCCAGTAGAAGAAGTACAATCGCAATGATTAATACAATTTATTCTGTTGTATGAGGACACAAAGTTGTTCTCATGGCATTGCAAAAGATATGCCATTTAACTGTAATAAAAACTATTTTTCTTCTGGAATTTAGGAGTTTCCACTCATCTCTTTTACATGTGCTGAGGGCTTGTTACGCTTGCTCACATCTCGTCGGGAAGTTGCACAAATATCCACTGTAGTGTGTCCACTTGTCAGTCCCACATTTGCGCACCACGCGTGTGTACACGTCAGTAGGCTGACTTTAAACGCAGGTTCCAATAGATAAGATGATCGCCAGTTGCAAATGAAAACCGTTGCCGGTACCTAACTAGCACGACCTCAAAAGTGCCACCTTGTATCTTACAATATGTTCGCGTGAGGAATGAATAGGCCCGCCATTTCTCCCGAACATCACTGTGATTCCTAACTGGCATATAAATAGGAATGTTAGACATGAACGAGACCTAAAAATAGCATATATGTTAAAGCAAAACTTTTCTATTTCAGCGGAGCAACTAGAGAATAACTACCATTACTGCTCACAATGCCAGAAACCGACCAAACACCGAACAAGTTAAAGGTTAGGAAATGAGGGTGCTCTGAAGCGAGAAAAAGTACGCTGAAGATTGTGGAGTTGTCAAGATTTCTCCAAAAGTTGAGTCCATTTACGTTGCATTTGTTGGTCCTTGTGGAGGCTCTGGGAGCTTTAGCGTTTTCGAAGTCAATGAACAGCTGCGAGGTATTGCACGTGCAGGCATTGCGCATGACGGAATCGAACAATCAAATCAATTGTGACGCTGATGATCGTTGGCACGGGTCTACTGTCAATCCACTACACCCACAATAGTTTCATCAACTCCACTCCCCGATGACGAAGCATCTATATAGATAAAAGATGCAGGGACTGTCGCCGATCGAAAGGACTTTTAAAGTGATGGACACGAATTCACATCTTAAGCCAAGCCTCATGTCATCATTTCCTAAATGGAAGCCGTCATGCTGCGAATATCCACCTTCTTCGAATAAAAGGTGCAGAATTCATCCTTACGAACTAGGTTTAGGAGGAAGAAAGGAGGAAAGAACAAAAATAGTGTGCTCTGAAACATTTCTATGAGAAGGGTGGGTGCAGCACAATTTCTCACAAACAATTGTAAGTTCGACTGAAGCGCTTACGGTAGATACCACGGCAGCTTTGCCCCTCAGACAAGGAGAGAAAAGTTAGATCTGCGTCAAATTAAAGGAATATTTGGTTGCAGAAAGTCAGCACATGTATCGAAACAGGAACAGAATTTTACCTCTGGAACCAAGGCAAGCATCTAGGCAATGAAGACATGCAGACTTATCGTCACCGCCTGCCCCTGTGTGCTAAGTGACGGTGTTTCCTCCAACACAACTGTGGAGTCATTCAGGTGAATTTCCCAACTCAAGAGGTGGTCACCACCAAAGCTGAGTATTACTGTTGCGTTCTGTGCGATGCGAAGGTTACGTCGGCGGAGAAGGTAGGGAGGCAGTGACCATCAAGACTACTTTCCGTGGTCACAATGACGTACGAGGTCTTACTGCTAAATGCGCCACATTTACATTACAATAATCCTACATAAGGATAAGGGCCCATACTACATAGCCCTAACACAACACTCTCAAATAGTTTCAAGCCCGCTCATATCAGTCATCATTGAAGCGGGGGTAAGTGTGCAAATGTAGAGAGGGAGGATTGTGTAGAGCAATAAAATCACTACAGTTACAACATAGAGAGAAAAATGAAGAACGGGGAAATGAAGGAGAAGATATCAGAGGCGCATCGACAAAATATGTTTGCGACATGTGAGGGGGTAATGAATTTGGCGGACACCGAAAAATAGGAGACGAAGGAGGGATACGAACAAATGCACAAAATGTTTGAGAACGTGTAAAGCCTTTTTATTGGCGACAAAGAAACTCGGTTTGTGAGGGCAGAGACATGAAATGTGCAGTGGACAGAAACACGCGCCAAATCACCTACCCTTTGGTCAACCCTGCAACACACGCCATTGCAAAATTCTAGACGTGCCTATCTAATGCTATCTGCAGTCCCTTGTGAACTACGCAGATAGGAGCATATTAAAGCCTTCGTGTACCCATCTTCTAACTCACCGCCCCATTGCTTTTCCATATTCATTTATCTATGGCTTGAGACCAGCCCACGAAGATTACAAAGACCATGCCAGCAACCACTTCAATTTATGTTTCCCTAAATGACCACCTTAGGAACTTTAAACGCGAGCCTCGTCACAACGATATAGTATAGCGCACTACATTTTTAACGACCTTCTGACTACGCGCAAGCAGTCTCTCCAATATACATGTCGTTTTGAACATTCAGGTTGACGATTTAAGTGGTTTTGCATTCCGCGGATAAATGACAAATGGGTCACCAACTAAGGTCTCCCACATCCTCTATTCTTACCCGACTCACTATCTATTCAGCTGTCAATCTAACAAATAATTAAAGGGAGATCGGCATTATTAAAAGGGCATTAGACCAGAAGATGAAAGACTGCAAAGGGCGGCCGAATTAGCCATCTTGATTAGCATTTTTCATGAGCAGGCCAAACGATCAAGCGGAGTAAGCACCCTGGCAGCACCCGTCAGCCTGTAATGATGTAAGGTGGAACAGGACGGAAAACGGAAGCCAGTGTACATTCATTTCATTATCCACGTTCAATACATGCCAGATAAGGATTGCAACATGAATTGCAGCTTCACTTGTAATTTTTGACTGTCGACTCGACAAAAAACAGGGAAATGCATAAAACAGGTGGAAACCTCTTCCAACCTAATGGCAAAAGCAGTGAAAGAAAATGAGTTGTCTAAGTGAGATCTTGCCTCAACAAAGGCTCGTGAGATCGTTTCACACTGGCCACTTGTCACCATTCCTCATGAGAATGGCACTTATCAGAGCCTAATGAGAAGCGTCATAATCATATAGGCGAAGAAAGTGTGACCGGGAGGATTGTGCAAATAGAATGCATTCCCATACAGCAATTACCGCACTTTCTTTACGAAGGAGCCTCTGTCACCCCCAAATCGAGTTAAGTCGCTTGAGAGCTGGTGAAAGGTAGGAGTGGGTACCAGACAATTCAATCCTTGATTATCTGAACAGAGAGCATAGAAAGGACTACGTAAAAGTCTACCGTAATTCGATATTTTTTTGAAGGTGCGTTCTGACACACCCGAATGGGGTGGAGCCACCCTTGCTCTTCACCACTAATAAGGCGGATACTCAGGGCTCAGGCGCAAGCATTGAGTGGACCCAATTTATGGCATGGGGAAACATCACCACTACTAATACCTCATGCGTAGTTATTGTCGATGTGGTTGAAGTTTGACAAACATCAGTCTTTCATTAGTGACACCACGCGCACTATGCAGGGGGTTTGAGCATAGCTCGGAGCACCCTCCTCTGCCTTTACCAAATACAAAGTATTGCAAGTCTTTGCTGCTCTTCCTTGCCTATCACCCTCTGGAACAGTAGATCTTGGATTGTGGATTTACTTCCACCTCCGTAAATGAACATCACATACATGAAAGGATCCACACCAACGTAGAGAAGACGTTTCTTTACTTCGCAAATCTCTCTTGGCACTGTATTGGGGAAAGTGAATTGCCCTCGCGAAATGATCAGTGGGTAGATTCACCAAGAACAACGAAGTTGCATAAAGATCTCGCTTTTATTGAGCGACCCACCTAGTCTGCTCCCGTGATTGGGCCGAAAGGATTCGACCAAAATGGTGTTCTTTAATCACCTCGGCCCAATAGAATATCAGAAGAGACAAATGAACCTGCCATTTGCCCCATCCCCTACTAATGCCACCTTTCTGGGAGAGACTTTGAGGTGCACAAATGCTGTTTATTACTGCCGGAAAACACTCGAGAGTACTGAAGTTTGGTGCAGGCTTGAAGTGAAAAATGTGGAGGGAAGAGGAAGACATTGCTTTAGAAAAGGGGTAAATGGCCCGAGCAGTGGTAAAATGTTGAACGAGAGTGCTTCAGTAAGAAGTGACAACCTGAGAGCAGAAGCCATTTATCCTCAAAAACACCCCCTTACGAAGAAAAATGAATTCACAAAAGGAAAACGGTTCTAGGAAAAGCGAAATTAAGAAAATAGGTGTTTTTAAGAGGAAATCACTACTGGAAAAGTAATTAAATTGCTGCAGGTTTATCGACA